TAGTCACTATTGCTGCGAAGAGATGCCTTGACTAGGTCAACACAAGTGAAAACATTTAATTGGGGACTTGCATGCAGTTTCAGAGGTCTAGTCCGTTGTCATCATGGTGGTGCGTGTGGTGTTGAGAGCTTCATCCTGAATTGCAGGTAGAGAGGAACTGGGCCTGGCTTGGGTTTTTGGTACCTCAAAGCCCACTCCCAGTGACAGGCTTCTCCTAACAAGGCCACACCTCCTAAACCTTTTACTTTTTCCAGAGCTGTACTCCCTGGTGACTAAGCATTTAAATGTGAAACTGTGGAGATCACTCTCAGAAACTCACGTTGTAATGTATATTAAAGTAGCAGATGTATTAAAAGACTAAATGAGAAATGTAAACAAAAATCTTAAAAGTAGATATTGTACTGTTTTTTCAGGAGGACTACTGAATTGGGAGAAAGTGAGACAGGAAAAATTGATACTAGTGATTGCAAAGTGTGATAAATGTGTCAAAGGACAGCATTATATAAGAGCCAAGTATGTTGTGGAAAATGAAAATGATTTTCCATAATGTAAATGGAGAAAAGAGTAATTTGCTTAAACTTATAAGAACTCAGATTGAAGTAGCATGTACAGGTCTGCACCAGTTCCTCAGTATTATGTATTATGTATGGCTTTCGGTTTAGTGTTCTTATGGGACTCCTGAGTGTGCAGATGAAAGAGAATCTAATTCTTGTGCCTTTTCTTGGGCTTTTTTCCTTCTGTTGCTTTGTCTAGTCCAACTTCAGTGTGTAGTTTTATCTTATGTCTTATTGTGTTGTATTTTATTATTATCTCTTAGCTTGTTTTTCTAATGAGAGACAGAAAGGGAGTGGATAAGGATGGAAGGGAGAGGTGGGGAGGAACTGCCAGGAATGGGGCGTACTAATAGTAATGAGGATATATTATGCGAGAGAAGAATATATTTGCCATAAAAGGAAAAACAAAGTAACTTGCTTGAACATAAATATAGCATAGGTGTTAAAGTACAGTTTTTGATGATAGCTTGTACAATTTATGAAATCCCTTTGGGTGTTGGTTATGCATTGTACTTTTGCAATTATGCTTTATTTTCTAATTGACTATGTGCCATAATTGTGGCTAGAAAAATAACTCAATTGTTGATAAATAGCTGGAAGAAAGAAGTGATTTGTTTGGGAAGTTTTGTCTTTGTGATACAGAAATTAATGGGTTTGAACTTTACAGCTTGATACCTTACATATAAATGTATTGTTTTACATACACATGTTTATTATAATGTTGTGGGCTTTTCATTTGTAGTTAAAAGGATCCCTATTTCAAATGGCTAATAATTTCCAAATTTTTTTATTTCATTACTGATTTATTTTCAGAAAATTGAGTAAACATAATTTAGTTATGCTCTCATCTGTAAATTAAGCCAATTTAGCAGAGTAGTTGAAATACAAAGCAGTATTTGGAGATAGAAAACATCTTTTTACTTATCAGATACATGTATCCTCCATTTTTATTTTATTCTTAAACTTATTTTATTGCTATGTTACTTATTTATTAATTCACTAAATACGTGTTATTCTGGAAATAGCCAGGTTTTAGACTAAATGCAAAAACAAACAATATGTTATCTGTGGAGTTAAGTTGTATGTTATAGAAAGAGGCAGGAAATAAATATGGTACATAAAAATGTGGTTTTATTTGTAAATGAGTTTCATAGAAAAGGTGACAGAAATTTGAGGAAAGATTAAAAAGAAGAAACAAGATTCTCTGGCATGGTAGGCAGATGGTACAGCTAATGCAAATACTCTAAATCAGGTAGAAGTGTGTCTGATATGTTGGAAAAATGAAGCAGATTAGCTACTGGAGCCAAGAAAGGAGAGAGAAGTAACAAATGAAGTCAGACAGGCAGTGGGATAGCTCTTAGGTTAGTTTCCTGTTGGTGTGATAAAATTTCCTGGTAAAACCAACTTAATGGGGAAAAGGTTTACTTGGTTCACAATTCCAGGTTACAGTGCCTCATTAGGAGGGAAATCAGGCATCAGGAACTTAAATAGCCAGTTCTGTTGCATTGGAGATCTAAAACTGAGACAGTGACTTCATTCATGCATGCCAGTGCTCAGCTTGCTCTCTCTCTGGGCAGTCAAGGATCCCTGCCCAGGGAATGGCCCCATCCACAATTAAAATGTGTTCCCCACATTAATTGATCAAGAGAGTCTCTCACAAACATTGCTAGAGGTTAGCCTTAATATAGACAATCCCTTACAAGTGTACCCGAAGACCTGCTTCCTGCCGCTCATGTTGACAGTTAATATTTAACCACATGAGACAAGTGTATGTAAAATCTTGGTAGATCAGTATCAAAGGAAGTTGGTGATTATTCTGAAGTAAAAATATTGTAGATTTGAGTAGAAAAGGTGTTAATCATGGGACATGAAGTTAGGAAACATTTGAAATTCACTAGTCTACCTATCTTCTTGGCTTGGGGTGATAAGAAAGAATTCCCAAGGGGAAAAAAATTTAGTGTTATTTGGTAGAGTTTAGAACTATTTCCTTTCACCATAATTAGGAAAAATAAACATTTTTAAACCAAAGTTATATTTCCACTTAAAGCTATACATAATCTCAAAAGGAACAGTTGCTTTTTATCCCCTTGCATCTGTTTAGCCATGCTCATTTGAAAATTGATTCTCTACTGTAGTAAAAATTTTTAAATTTCTATAATTTGAGACATTTACTCAAAAATTATTATAATTACCTCATTATTAAAATGTGAATAATTGTCATTTATCTTTTTTTTTACCATGAAACTGAATTACATTGAACAACTTTATATATCTTATTAACCAAGATTCACCTATATTCCTTTTTGTTTAAAAGGCTCTGCATTTGCTTGTGAATGAAATACAAGGTAATTTCTGTTTTTCAGTGAAATAGTTAGATCTAGTAGGATAGATAGATATTATAGTAATAGTATAATAAAAAAATATGAGGTCGTATATTATCTTTTCTTTGAAAAAATGTCCTACCTCTGATAGTTTTTTCCCCAAATTTGACCTCTTCAATTGTATTTTAATATATACTTATTAATTACAAGGTTGAATCACCAACTTGTCCTTACTGTGTCATATCTTTAGTGTTGATGCTAAGTTCATAAGTGAGTTGAAAGCATATTTCCTCCTATAGGATAGAGTTCTAAGTAATGAATTGCTTAAGTGTCACTAAGTGTAGTTAAAGATAGTTTCTTGTATTTCTAGGATGTTTCATTTCAAACTTCACTGTTCCAGTGGGGTGGGTTTTTCCAGTTGACTTAAGTTTAATTCCAGTTATCTTGAAGATTGAGTGAATCCCACTTTTAAGTCAGTAACACTTTCTCATGCATAAAATATTTTATAAATAATTAGCAACTCTTTTTTAAAAAGTTATGACTAAAAATTTTGGTACATACTATTGCTAGTCTTTGTGACATCATAGTTTTGTTATTTTAATTGTCTCCAACACTTGTGTCTTCATTCCTGAACAGTTAAATATTCTTATAAAATTTGAAATTCTAAGCATTTTGTAAGTTTTGGGTAGAAGAAATTAAAGTACATCTTGATAACACTCATCATTTGAGTTGCATGTCATTAGTTATTTTCTTATGGTACAGACAGGTGAGTCTGAGATGTCAGTGGCCTGTGGTATTTGAATAATACAGTTTTATTTTGCTTCTAAGGATAGTTGATAACTGGTTTTGTGTCCACAAAATAAAATTGAAGCCAAGCATTGGATGGTTTGTTACCAGGTTATTTTTGTGTATAAGCATACATGTCAGAGGCTAAACCATCATTGCAACTTACTGAGTTTCCTGTAACTGAATTATTGTATAACCTGCTTGAACTTAACTAAGTTAATTTACAGCTCTCAGATGACTTGTAGATGATTTCAGGTGTTAATTATTGAATATCATTTGTAGGTGACCAGTAGGAACTTGTATTCAAATATATGATTTTCTAGTAATGGAATGCATAAGCATAATATTATTTTACTTTGAAATAGTGCTACTTTAAAACATGTGATGCATGTAGTTTTGTTATCTTTTCAGCAGGACTCACACAGAGGTAGTGTGAGTTAAAAATTGCATGTGGAAAAACCTTACCAAGTTTCCTTACAATATATATGAGATAATTTTGTTTCATAGAATATAGGGTATAATTGCTAGGTTCTAATTTGAGTTAAATAGCATACTGTGTGTGTCTGTGTATGTGTAATATATATAACATGTAATATAGTATATATAAACTATACACACTGATTTTAAGAAATTTTCTGATTCATTTCAAGTGAGAAACTTGTAGAGTTAAATAGCCAATATAGCTGGCATTGCTTTGGGGGGAAATCAGCCACCTTTAAAAGCAATAATCGGTGAGCATAGATGTATTGAGTAAGTAGTAATTGAGTTAGAGGAGAACATTTTGTGTTGGAGTCAGCACATAAAGCAGAAGACCAGCTCTTGAAGTCAAGTTCACCAAATGACTTCTGTTGTCATTCATGGAAAGATTTGCTTGAAATCATTCTGGGAGACAGTATTTGAGTATTATTAATCTTTGAAGTTCAGGAGTCCAGATTTAACTGCTTTTGTACGGGAACCTTATTTCTTAGCCTTAAAAAATACAGAGTGAGTGAGTGTGTGTGTGTGTGTGTGTGTGTGTGTGTGTGTGTGTGTGTGTACATGTATAAAATGCTTTGTTTTTAAAGAACTCTGAGTATGAGTTTTAATCCTAGCTTTATGCTTATATTGTGACTTTGGATACATCACTTAACTTGATTTGATTATTTATAAGGATAATGGGGATACTTATTTTACGGAACTAAATTATTTTTATTATTTTGAAGACTTTAAACTAGGAGCCATATAGAAAGCATTTTTTTTCTAAGCCAAAATGTGATAAATGAAACAAATTCTAGAAATCTGAATTTAAGAAACCTAGTTTGTTTCTGGAGTACATTTATATTCCCCATTTTCTTGGTAGCGGATACTCTGTTTTCAAGGAAGCTGAATGGGAAATACAGACTTGAACGACTTGTTCCAACTGCAGTATATCAGCATATGAAGATGCATAAACGAATTCTTGGACACTTATCATCGGTGTACTGTGTAACTTTTGATCGAACTGGCAGGCGGATATTTACTGTAAGTCATTTTTAAAGTCTTATATTTACTGGTAGATAGAATTGAAGAAACATTGCCTAAATGAGAAGTAGAAGTAAAATTTTGCTTTTTTTAAAGTGGGAAACCGGAAATTTGGATACTTTTAAAAAGCATGTTCTAACAAGTTTTTAATTAAATTTGAACTTTTTCCAAGTTCAGAAGTTCCAAAATTTAGACCTGTTAATAGTGTAATCACAGCTACAGATGTCCTATGTGGTGCATTTATCTGTTTCTCAGTATTAATCACAGAGGCTGATGGTGGGGCTTTTATAAAAGGTTATGTCATATTTTAAATTGTAGAACAAGAAAGAGCTGGGGCAAATTGTAGAAAAGTATTATCTGCAGAGAACCACTTGCTAACCTAAGAAAACTCCTTTTAAATGTTGATAGAAATTTCGAGCATATCTGACACTCTTTGCTTAGGATTTTGTAATCCTTAATGCCTGATTCATTAAAATAGCTATGTTTTTTAAAGAAGCAGGCAGGGAGTCATTTGTTCCTGTTTCTTCTAACCTGCTACAGGGAAAAGGATAAAAGCTGGGGCTTTTCGGCTTTGAGTTAGAAAAATTATTTTGGAAGTATTTCAACTTGTGTTTTTTAAGTGCCTGAACTGTTATATTCAGTAGGGATAATATTTACCTTACTACTATGGTTATCCTTATTAAACATTACCCTGTGGGCTGAAAGCATGCATTCCCTCAGTCCTTAATTGCCTTTGAAACAAGGAAATGGGGGAGAAAACTTCAAATAGAAATTCCCATTTTTGATTTTGGGGAACTGCTGCTAACTTTAAAGACTTATTTTATTTTTTATGCATATGAGTTTTTTTGCGTGCAAATATATGTGCACACCTGGTGCCCATGAAATTCAGAAGAGGGCATCAGATTTTTGGAGATGGAATGAACCTTCTGTGTAGGTTGTGAGAACCAAGGCTAGGTCTTAAAGGAATAGCAAGTACTTCTAACCATGAGCCATCTTTCCATCTGCTAATTTTAACTAAAGTAATGATTATGGATTTTGTTTTTGTTTTGTTTGTAAATTTGCACATAAATCGAGAACTACCTATATATTCAGTTATTTGTAGAACAACTAAAGAAAGGACATCTGAAAGAATTTTTCACATGTTTTTATTGTTTTTAATCCATTGGGCATTTGCACTTTACTCACACTATCAGTATTTTCTTCTTTTACCTTCTTTCAGCTCCATTGTTTTTAGGAAACAAAACAAAATTTCTAAGCTTCCTCATAGATTATTAAACTCATACAGAGCAGGTGTCTGTATTTGCTTTGTGTTTGCTATATTCACATTAGTAGTTGACTTTTAAATTGTAACTATCAACCTAGCCATTAATTTAATGGGTTAATGTTTAGTTTTTAAAACTTAAGTCAAGTCCTGTCTAACATTTGAAGGAATTCCTTCAAAAGCAGTAACAAACTAAAATAATGAGAAGTATTATGTTGGGTTCGTATTTTGGTGACCATAAAAATTGTACACCATTGTCGCTTTGATTATTTAAAAAAAAAAAAAAGCATGGCTTTTCCATTTTTGATGTTAGTAAAGTACCTTTTGGGAGTTCTTTCTTTAAGAGAAATATGGATTGTAAATAGCAAATTTATATAGGATTATCTGACTTGATAGGAATTTGATAATCTCTTGGAATTTTTGAAGGAAACAGAAATGAAATAATGTTTTTGTTCCTATTTTCTGAGCTTAATAAAATTTTCAGAACAAAATTTGAGAGTACTTGAACCAGGGGATAAATAATCAAATTAACTACCTTGGCTCAGTATAGCATACCACTTATTGTAAATAGTTTTTTTTTTTTTTAAAGATAAAGACACATAGTTGGCTATATACTGCATGTAATCACTGTTGAGATACAAAAGTGCTGTTGTATGGTTTATCACAGAATCATATGGCCTGTAGAGTTGAAATTATTTGTTATCTGGCCTTACAAGAAAATGTACATCTCAGGGCATTTAATTTGGGGAAAAAGAATAAATGAAGAAGAAACTGCTTCCTGGTTGTTTTTCTTTAGTTGAAGGCATACACAAAAGGAAGATAAGTAACATATTAATGATTATATGATCTTACCTAGACTATAAAAGATATTTTCAAAAATGTGAAATAATTTGCTAGTTGTGCCAAAGTCATAGACTCATTCATATGGTGAATTGTAGTTACATACTCTGAAATAGTACATTAGAGTAGAAATGCTAATAGAGTCTGGTTTTTGTTTTTTAATTTCTATTTTCTGTGTGTGTGTGTCTGTGTGTTTGCATTAGTTTATGTAAAGGTGCTTAGAGAGGCCATGTGTCGGATATCCTAGAACTAGAGTTAGAGGCCTGATGTGAGCAGCTCTTAGGGTGATAGGAACTAACTGGGTTTTCAGTACATGCTCTTAACCTGAACCATCTCCTTAGCAGTAAGACTTACTTTTTTTCAATTTACTTTTATTTTAGTAGTATCATTTCAATAGGTAACGGCACATTTTTATCTACTGCACATATTTACCTTGTAAAATGAAACCGATAATGGCTATTTTCTCATTCAGCTTTCTAGAAGCACACAACACACTGAACTGACTTGTAGTTTACAGTTTGGTCTTGAAAATTGAAGAGGGATGGTTAAAGCTTGTGGCAGTAGTTCACGACAAACAGAAGATTCATGTGTCAACACATTGCCATAATTTATTCGAATAACAATTGGCTAAAGGACTAACCAGTATTTTCTTTTACTACATTTGGTATTTTAATACTTTTCATTTATAAGTTCCTAGTTCAAGTGTATTTGAAAACTTTACCAAGGGACTAATTTTCGTGAGGTAGAGAAAGGTGTTTAAAAACTTTGAGGAAACTATAACATAATTGTGTATTATTGGGTATATAGCACAGAATCAGATATGTGAACTGGAAGTGCTGATAGGAACAAAGCCACGAAGTTCCTATATGACCTGCTAAAGAGTTAAGTCTTTTACCCAAAGAAAGGGAGAACAAGTGATAAATGTAAAACATACTGCATTTCTTGTTGACATAGAATTCCTTCAGAAACCAGACTGGTCTGAAATTCACCATCTTTCTGTCTCACGTTCAGCCAAAATACTGGGATTGTGGGTGTATACTACCTTTTATGGATCCTGTTGTGCTGTATGGATTAAAACAACAGTGACATTGGGTGTGGTGTATATTGAAAAGGTTCTGGCAGTGAGCCATGAAACAAAGCAGAACTTGAACTGTCACAGGAAAGTGAAAATAAGATCAGTACGTTGAAAATAAGATCAGTACGTTGAAAATAAGATTTTTAAGATTCACATATATGTGTATTTATGTATGTATACACACATATATACATGAGGATGAGAATGAGAGAATATCTAACATGTTTCATAGAAAGTCATCTTATTTACTGTGTCAGTCATTTAAGCAGAAATGTCTGCTAAGTTGGACATGCTGCTCTTTTGTCTGAGAGGCTTATGTGTGTGGGAAATACACATTCTTAACAACAGTGGGAACAAGAATGAGATTAGCCTACAAAATTGAGATGTAAAATCATTTTATGGAAACATCATTACAGCTGAAGAAAGCCTATTTTCAACTTTTAAAACTGGCAAAAGAACATAGTAAGTGGCATGGGCAGTTATCTCTGATTATGGGATAGTAGGTTGGTAGAAAAGAGTGTCTTAGAAGCCAAGAGATAAGTTGTTTCTCAAACACAAAAGACTAAGGCAGAGTAAGACTGAAGATCCCTTATGAGTTTGCCAAAGTTGTTAATAATTGCCTTGATCTAAATTTTTGTGGTCCCCACCCCCAAACTTCCATTTTCAAAGTATCTTGAAACTAAATCCCTATTACCTTTTGGTAATGGTTAGGTCATGACTTCAAGAATGGGTTGTTGTCCTTATAAAAAGACCCAAGGCTTTGCCTCTTGTCTTGTCTGTTAGAAGTTGCTACTTAGGAAATAGATATAGAATTTTATTTATTTATTTATTTATTTTTTACTAGATACTGAATATCTTAATCTCTGGTTCTTAGACTTACTCAGCACCCCAAGATTTACCCACCACAAGGTATTGTTACAGTAGCTCCAATTTATTAAGACAAATAAATTTTGACAGATACTAAGTGTCCCCACTTTTATGTTTTAATTACATTGTTACTTTACCTTTGTATCAAACGCAGAACTTCTTGTTCAAAATCTTTCTACCACCAACTTATTCCCTTTGCTTGGGATTGGATTGTTTTCTCAAGCCATTCATATGGTTAATTTCTTTACTAGCAGGTTGAGGCTGGTAGAGAGAATTTTGCTTTGAAGATCTTGACATAATCTTGCACTATGCCCCAAAAGGTACCAGTTGTTTAGGTGAAAAAGTTGGAGGTGAGAAAAATAGGAAACTTTAGAAATAACATGACCAAATTAACTTTATTAGTTGTAGAATGTATTGACTACATTCTGAAAGGTGTTCCAATGAGAAAAATGTTGTGTCTTTACATTAATTTTTATGCAAAGACAGCATTAGCTGAATCTGGTCATAAGATACATTCTTCAGAGCCAAGTTCTGAGATCTTGTAGAGACCATATTTATAAATTTCTGAGGTCATAAATAAGAAAGGATCCCAGGTAGAGGAGCCTGAAGAAATGTGACAGTTAAGTGTAATATGTATATGGAGTCCAGTGCATAAAACAGAAAAGTGTACATCAGGAGCAGAGTTGGCAGACTGAGTGGATCCTGTAGATACTGAAGATAGTATTATTTATATTAACTTACTTATGTTTTAAGAGGGAATGGTATCAGGTCTGTAACCTGCTCTTAAAGGGTAAAGAGTTCAGAAAAATCCCCCCCCCACCCGGTTCGTTCGTTCGTGTGTGTGTGTGTGTGTGCGTGTGTGCGTGTGTGCGTGTGTGCGTGCGTGCGTGTGTGCGTGCGTGCGTGCGTGCGTGCGTGTGTGCGCGCGTGTGTGCGCGCGTGTGTGCGCGCGCGCGC